CCGGGCAGGTTCACCGAGCTCACCAAGAGCTGCTCCCCTAACTGCATGCTTTGCAAGGCGCAGACGGCAGCTGGCGGCTTCCTCGCCTCCCGAGGCCTGATTATAAAGGCAGGACGGGGGAGCCAGCGCCCTCTTCCGAGGGGAAGGGAACTTCCCCTTCCTCCCGCGCCGGGGCTACCCACCTGCCGCCTCGAGGGCCGCTACGGCGCGCACCCGCGCGCCCTGAATCCGGCGTCCTTTCCTCCAGGAAAGCGCCCTGGGTGTGAAGGCAGGAGGTGGAAACGGATCGAGAAGCCCTGTCCTTTCCCTTCCCCGCCCCTCCTGCTCCTCAAGACCCCCACCCTCCTTCCACACCCACACCCTGGAAGAAAGGGACTTAGATCTCGGTCCCCATGCACCCTCGAGCCTGCACCTTTCTTCCCCTTGCCGACTGCAAAACCGTCGGTCAGACTGACCACTTGGAAACTTTCGGGCTGTCACTGGCTCCTTTATGTACGTGCGGCCAGGGAGGGGCTTCGCGGCCCCACAAGTCCGGGGACCCTCCTATTGGCTGATGGAGGTGACACTAATTCAATTAGGCATTTACTAATTGGATCAAGTCGCCCGCGACTTTCTTTTTCTGTAGCTTGATTTTTTTTTTTTTTTTTTTTTTTGAGACTGTGTCCCGCTGTGACAATCAATCCTGGTGTCTGTATTTCTCTGGGGTTTAGGGGACCAGGGCTGGGGGGGTGGGGGCGATTCCCGTGTCGGGGTCCACCCTTGGCACAGAAGTGATCCCAGATCTGTGCGCGGGGGAATGAGGTGGCTGGTGCAGGGTTTAGAGACCGGAGGGAGAAGAAAGACTCCTCCAAGCTGACTACTTGCAGGGAAACGCCGGTCCTCGAGGGCGGGGGACCTGGGGCCTGTTGGAGACAGGAAAGGCTTCTCTTTCCTCGTCAGAAGCTGTTACTTCAAGGCACACCTTCCTCCCGACCAAGGGGGACTCCCTGGCTTTCAGCACGCAGGAATCACTTTTTGTTTGGTCCCATCCTTTTATACAGTGGAAGGGTTTGTGGAGAGGAACCTCGCGCTCAGCTTTTGGGACTCCAGGGACCGCCAGAACACACCGCCATCCTCCAGGACCTAAGCGCTCAGCTTCTGTATCAGAAGCCTGGGTAGAGTGGGGATATGGGGACCAGACAGGAGTGAAACCAGCAATCGAATACTTACCCTCCTCATACCCGCGCCAGCACGCCTGTCCACGGGAAGGCAGTCACTCTGACTCCCCACCATTTAAAATCCACGTCGCCCAGTTGTCCTGAATCCCGGATCCCTCCCCGCCCCATTTCCAGTTGGGCCTGACACCAAGAAACAAAGGTTCTCCAGCAGCCGCGCGGTTAGGAATCCCTGCGCCTCGACTCTGCGGGCGCAACCCAGAAGGTTGAGTAATTAGTGAAACAATCAGTTTGATATTGAATTAAACCCCTTGCCCCCAGCTGCCTGTTCCCTCGCCGCGTTTCCGCAGAGTCAAGAGCGACGCCGTCATATTTTATGGTTTTATTATTGCAGAAGGGGGGGAGCACGTTTCGTTGCGGATAAGGAGAAGCCTGAATATTCGCTGTTAATAAGCAATTACGGACGCCGCCAGTAATCGCTCCGGGAGCGCGTTTTCCGGCTGAGATGTCGGGACTCTGCTTTCCCAACCCAACGCGACCACACGGGAAACTCTTCGCCCACAACAGATGAGGTGGCTGAGGGATCTGCTGAGCCGAGCCCACGCCAGTGTAGAACAGCGCGAAGCTTTCCAGCCCGGGTTCAAACCACCGCGACGCCAACATACCCACATCGGCACGTCTGGGTCCCAAAGAACAAGGCGGTCCTTAATGCACTTGGACTCTCCAGGGCATCTGTCACCATTTTGTGTGGTGCGTGCGTGTGTTTTGTGTGGTGGTGGTGAAAATCAGGAGCGCGCGAACGTTTTCGGGGTCAAGGCATAGCCAGAGGGGACGGAGCCTTGCAGGTCCTGGGCCCGAGTACCCGGGAGCAGATGCCCAGAAAGCTGGAGATCAGCGCGCTCAGCCCTGTGTTCCCTGCGTTTCGTCTCATCAGTTTAGCCCGGGTTTGGCGCGGCTCTCTGTTCTGATCACCGCACTGTCCACGCCTTCCTCTCCCGCTTCAGTTTTATTTCGACCCAGGGAGTCTTGAAGGTGGATGTTTCAAGTTGTTTAGCGCCTTTGAAGGCTTCGTGGTGTCTAGTTTGGAGATGCCGTGACGCGGATGCGAGCGCAACGCAAGGCGGGGGCCGGCGGCTTCGGCGACGTCGCCTCGAGCTAGCGGGTCCTGGTGTCGGCTCCTGGGTTCCTCCACAATAGCCTTGACCCGAGCTGCAGGGAGTCCGAGGGAAGAGTAGGGATGAGACCGAATCTCACATTATTTGGAGACCGAGGTGGCCGAGGGCACGTGCAGTTTTGCGCTTTAACGCCGCGAGAAGCGGGCCTCGGTGCCTCTTCAACATGCTTTCGAAGCGGCCAGGGAAGCGCTTCGCGTGGCAAAGTGCCATCGCAGGCAACAGGCATCGTTCCGACCCACTCTGGCGCAAATAACGCGGGCCAGCTGTCCCCCGCGCCTCATCAGAAAGGGCTGATTTTATCCCTGCTCGGGAGCAAGCTCTGGAAAGCGCCTGAGAGTTCAGGACGAGTGCCACCTCGTCGTTAAATATACACACAGTATGCACGATTAGCATTTGTATTGATTCAGGGAATTTCGGTCTATATCTCCCCACCTCCCCCATAAATCTATTTTACCCAAACTTTACACGTTTTACTGATAGAAAAGGAAAGAGGCATTCAAAAAGAGTCAAAATTCAAAACTACTTTGGGACCTAGGAGTTTTGGCACATGGAAAATAGATACATAATCATATTAGATTGCATCGTATCTCATTATACTTCATTTATAAGCAAATATCACCAATTCTTTAAAACAATGAAAAACACTGTTTCAGTTACAGAATTTTTTTTTTCTGGCTGTATAGTGATAAAGAAGTCTTCTGTGTTAATTAACAAACTAATTACATTATTCTTCTTATTATTATTATATTATTACAGATGGAATATGCTGGTCTAAAATGCATGGAGAGTTACACATGAGCAAATCTACGATTTCCTACTTGGAGTGGACTTTTCTTTCGCTGGCTGTATCACTTATAACCAGGGAAAGAGACATAAAAAGTATAACTTTCACGTGTCCCAGCCGCACTTTAAAATCCAGGCACTCCTTTCCAGAACTAGGAACAGAAAAGAAAGCTGAAGCAGTGGCTTCAGTGAACATGTCAGGCAGCACCCTCCTTAGATTGGGTGGGCAAATAACAGAACCTTCCAGCCTGTTTGCTGTTTGATTTCAATTACACCCCAAGCTTCATGAAATCCAAATGAGACATTTATTGAAAGGTGCCTGGTTTTATGTGGCTCTACTGACAGTGTATTGGAATACATTGAACAAAAACATCAACATTGAGGAGGAAATGTGGAGACCCCTGCGAACCCCAGACCCAAATGCCGGCTGGATTAACTCAAATCTTGCACCTTTCAGACTGCAATGGAGCAAGCAGGAGCTTTTGAAGGTTGCAAAGAAGCCAAGGCCAGGCCCGTGTGTGAGCATGTTCAAGCTCTTAGGCGCTATTGTCCTGTTGTCCTGAGGAATAACACCAACTTTATGCTACCATCTCAGTCTGATGACACAAAGTTATCAGGTGGCCTCCTCTCTTCTTCTCCCCCCTTAAAGGTAACCACTATCCACACACTGATTTTTTTTTTGAGTCGTAGTCTCACTCTGTGGCACAGGCTGGAGTGCACTGGCTCCAGCAATCCTTCCGCCTCAGCTTTTCAAGTAGCTGGAACTACAGTCACGTGCTACCACGCCTGGGTGATTTTTTTGATTTATTGTAGAGATGAGGGCTCGCCAGTTTGCCCAGGCTGGTCTCGAACCCTCATGGTCAGGCAATCCACTTGCCTCTGCCTCCCAAAGTGCTGGGATTACAGACTGAGCCCCCTAGCCCAGCCACTGATCTTTAAAAAGCAAAAATGGAGAAGCATTAGGCTATAACAGGACTATTACACGTCGCATACATGTACACATGCACGAATACATTACAGAGGTGAGTGACAGATGAGTGTGACAGTGTATGGTTTACCTCCCTGCTGCCCCACCCCCATACAACCAAGGGGGCCCATATAAATGTCCCAATAAATACTATTATTTTCACCCCCACTAAAAACGTGTTATCAAAACACTGTCCGTGTTATTCAAACACTTTGTAAATTCTGAGCAGACTTGCTGCCGGTTCTCCTTTTAACCCTAGGAAAACATTCCAACATTAACCGGTCACCAGCGCTTCGCCTGGACTCTGGGAAAACGTCAATGGGTTTTTTGTGGTGAGTTAGTCCTTTTACTATTTATCTATGGCCCTTTCTTTGTTGATGTTACATTTTATTTCACCATCTCGGGTTCACTCTTTGGTCCTGTGTTCTCTGATGGCCAGATCTACCACCTCTGTTATGCTTTCCAGAGGGGGAGGGAGCTTTCATCACCGTGAGGTTGTTCATGTTCCTTTTCTTTCTTTTTCCTTTTCTTTCTTTCTTTTCTTTCTTTCTTTTTTGAGAAAATACCTTTTAAGATATTTTGGCCAAGACTAGTAGTATTGATTCTGCTGACAACAGTATGATACTCCCACCAACACCCTCTCGCTTTTAATAATTCATATTTCACTTAAATAGACTGATCGCTTACTTAAAAAAAAAATCCACAAATGTGTGAGGTGAAGGGTTATATTAAACCCATGGTATTCTTTCAAACATAAATGACCAGTTTAAACTATTATCTTAGCTATCAGTCCATATATTTACATTGCTAAGCGCAATTGTTTTTCACTGTTAAAATATGAGGAGGTGATGGAATCCTGCAATGAAAGTTAATGAGTAAGCACAGTAAAAGTTGCTCATTACCAAAAAAAAAAAAGATCTTTTCCTACACATTGAATCAAGCATCTTTGACAAAAGCACATAATCTTGACTTTTTTTTTTGATTTGGCGTCTCACTCTGTCGCCCAGGCTGGAGTGCATTGACACATTCACAGCCACCACAGCCTTGACTTGCTGGGTTCAGGCGATCCTTCTGCCTCAGCCTTCCAAGTAGCTGGAACTACAGGTAAGCACCACCACACCCGGCTAATTTTTTGATTTATTGTAGAGACAAGGTCTCACCAAGTTGCCCAGGCTATTCTCGAACTCATGGGCTTAGGCGATCCTCTCACTTTGGCCTCTCAAAGTGCTGGGATTATAGGCGTGAGCCACTGTGCCCAGCCTCGACTTATTTTTTAGTGAAAGTATCTTTTAAACTGCAAGTGAATTTCTGGATTCAGCGGCTGTTCATCATCACCATCATCTTTCTTCATAGTCCCCATGGTAATAACAAGAAAAGTCATATGAGGCA